CGGATCTCGCGCAGGGCCACCGTGCCGGGCCGGTAGCGGTGCGGCTTCTTGACGCCGCCGGTAGCCGGCGCGCTCTTGCGGGCCGCCTTGGTGGCCAGCTGCTTGCGCGGCGCCTTGCCGCCCGGCGACTTGCGCGCCGTCTGCTTCTTGGGAGCCTTCTAAAACTTCCCACAGCAGTTACCTGCGGGAAAATGCAACCATACCATCCTCGGCTACTATATACAACGAGACTCCCCCTGTTTGGACAGGTATTTGTTTCCTATGGCTCCAAGTGAAGACATTGGTATTGACCTTCACTCCCTGATTCACATGACCTCTAGTACATTTAGACCCAAAATTAACATCTTCCACAAAAAAAAATAAAAATAACAGCTTCTTCCGATCCACCACTGCTGGTGTTTTCAACACTTTCCGGCCTCTACCTTATTTACAAAGATATATCACTTATCTACCTCGCCTGTTTCTTCACGAAGTTCTTTGGGTTTTGAAAGCAGAATCTAATACAAATTATTCCAAAGCTATCTATTGTTGGCTGAATAACAATTTAAGATATGACCTCTGAAACCGGCTTTCTTTGGATTGTTTTGAAAAGACACCCTATAGATGTTACTGGCCAAGTAGGTTTTTCTTTTAAGTTTGTTTAAGAGAGAGGTGGGGGGCAGCGAGAGAATCCCAAGCAGGCTCTGCACAGGTGGCCGAGAACCCCACGCCTGGCTCCAACTCGGGAACTGTGAGATCATGACTTGAGTCCAGAGTCAGACGCTGTTAACCCACCGAGCCACCAGGTGCCGTGGCAAGGTAGTATTTTACCTTAATTCCACTTTAGGAAGACAAATTACATGTCTATTTCTTGATGTCTCTATTCAAACTCAGATTTTTAGGTATGTATTTATACAAGTCCTGAATGCACCGGCCATTAAGCCTGATTTGATTTCATATTTAATGTTGAAGGTTATAATATTATTAACACGTACTTCCTTTACACAAACCGAAGTTTGTGTAAAATGGTGTTGAAAGATACCCAGAGTTGTAAGTGGTACAACATTACTGTGTGTTCTTAGTACTGATTGAAGGACAACGGGTTCTAGGGCATGTATTGTATTCCGATTGGCAACTGATTAGACCCAGGCCCCAAGCTCATTAACGCTGGATCTGGTTTGTTTATAAAGTGTGAATTGCAGGTGATTCTCTCCATTAAAAGGCAAACTGCTTTCAATAGCAGATAATATTAAACGTCCAGTTCTATAGTCCTGTAGGTCACTAACTAGATTTGGATCTCCATTTCCAACAAAGAGGAAACATCAACCTTCCTATTACCTGATGGTTTACAACGCTGGGGACTGCAGCACTGATCTATTTAACGCTTGTGACACATCTCTACATCCGTCTTAGTTTACGAATGGGAGCTATGTTTATGGTAACTCTGTAGTGAATGGCTTGTTCACCTTTGTGAGGAGTTGGGAGCACGGACCCCTATTCCTGGATTGACGAACTACCCTGAAGGGCATTTCCAATTAGCTACAATTAAGAAGGAAAATGTAAGCCCTTTTCATGAATACGGGGGTGGCTCTGAAAAGAGCCTTTGGTTGAAACTGTCCCCTCAATGACCTAAGGTGCTATTTTTCCAGCTTACTTGCCCTTGGCCTTGTGGTGGCTCTCGGTCTTCTTGGGCAGCAGCACGGCCTGGATGTTGGGCAGGACGCCGCCCTGCGCGATGGTCACGCGGCCCAGCAGCTTGTTGAGCTCCTCGTCGTTGCGGATGGCCAGCTGCAGGTGGCGCGGGATGATGCGCGTCTTCTTGTTGTCGCGGGCCGCGTTGCCCGCCAGCTCCAGGATCTCGGCCGTCAGGTACTCCAGCACGGCCGCCAGGTACACCGGCGCGCCGGCCCCGACCCGCTCGGCGTAGTTGCCCTTGCGGAGCAGGCGGTGCACGCGGCCCACCGGGAACTGCAGCCCGGCCCGCGACGAGCGCGTCTTGGCCTTGGCGCGAGCCTTGCCGCCCTGCTTTCCGCGTCCAGACATTTTAACACTCTCCAACCAGTTAGCTTGGTAAGGAAAAGTGAAATGGGGGCTCAAATCCTCTCAGCAAATGAGAAGCAATTATACTTGCAAGCCGAATTGTAAATGGCGCGTTTTGATTGGCTAAAACTATCCAGAAGTTTGCAACCAATTACAAAGGACGACTAACCCCACGCAATTTTCACGTCACTGCCTTACACTTTAGGACAATTTATCCAATCAAAGTCTAACTCGTTTAACGCCTCATTCGCACAGGCGCCCTACGAATATTATGAATGCTAGAACCAGGGCACATATCTCTTATCTCAGAAGTAGAGTTTTTCATCGTCATGCCACACCCAGCGAAGTCTTCCCCGGCCCCCAAAAAGGGCTCCAAGAAGGCGGTGACCAAGGCGCAGAAGAAGGACGGCAA